CCAGGGAATGGTTTAGATTGGAAGAGACCTCAAAGCACTTCCCATCCCACCTTCCACAGTGGAAGGGGACACCTTCTACTGGCCCAGGTTGCTCCAGGCCCCATCCAGCCTGGCCTTGGACACTTCCAAGGATGGGGCAGCCACAGCTGCTCTGGGCACCCTGTTCCACTCAGTCTGCTCAGCCAGACATTGTGAGAATATTGGGAATGTTCAGCTAATGCACCAAGCTTAACCAAGTCACAGTTCTATTCTAAACAGACCTTTGTGCCCGTCCTAATGCATTATTTCCTTACCATAAATTAATTTACCTGCATGGCCACATCTGGGCAGTGTTACCAGCCTCAGTGGGCAGAGCACAGAGCTGGAACCAGGGTCACAAAAGGAGTCTGGGGAAGAGCCAGGATCTGCTCCTGAATCCCCTGAATTTTTGGCTGGTACAGTAAAGGCCAGTGCTGTCACCCAGCCACGGTCCTGCTGCCCACTAATTAGTTTTGTTGTCAGCATTTTGCCAGTGGAAGGAGGCAGCCAGGTGCCTCTGGATTAGCCAGGGTGTGAAAAATGGCTTTCCAGCTGGTCTGGTGACCTTTTGACAGCGGGAGAAAATTCACAGGCAGAAGATGAAGATGTCAGGATATAAAATTAGGGACGATGGGGAGCTGTGTCTGCCCCTGGAAGTGAAACAGTAAAACCTATCCCTGCTCCCATCCTGGCCTGGGATGTGGTTTAGGGTTTCCTGTCTCTGATACAGAAGATATTTGCCTCCTGCAAGGCACATCCTGCTCCCAGCCAGAGGCTCCTGCAGCAGGAGAGAGTTGGGAGCAGAGCCAGCTCCCAGCACACTCCCTGAACAGCATCCTGGCCCAAAAGCTGGGTCAGGAAAAGTGGCTGATGTGCTCAGTGGCTAAAGAAACCCAGCCCAAGGTGGGATGAGCAGAGAAGTGATAATTGAAGGATCTGAACAGCCTGCCCATGGCAGGGAATTGGAACAAGATGATCTTCAAGGTTCCTTCCAACCCAAACCACACTTCCTGTGGGTATGGATCCAGGAAAATAGGACATTTAAAGATCAGTTAAGACTGAAGCCAAACTGAGATATTGCTTACAATGAAAAGCTGTGAATTTGCATCAGAATCAGGAGCAGGGCTTTGACAAAACAGGCAGTTAATTAAAGTGCACCAATTAAACGAGGTTCCTCCCTATTTTGCCTGCTATGAGAGGAGGTCCAAAAAAGGTACTTGTTAGAAAAATAGATTAAAATAAATCCAGGATGTTTAAAGATCCTGGAGAAGCACAGAGGGCAGAAACCTCTGCTCTGGTGCTTCAGGCTCTCTTTTCTTGGAGGAACACTCACACTTCCAGCTGAGCCACTCTGCCTTTGCCATGGACTCAAATGGTTTGGTTATTCCAGAATTCCTGCCAGTGTCTCCCACTGTCTCCTAGTGCTCAGGGGTCACACTCGCTCCTTGGTTTAATGCCCAGGAGAGGCTGGGGCACAATCAGATCCAAGCTCTCAGCTCCCATGGAAAGCTGAGAGGTTCTCAGTGTGGGGACACACGTGAGGATTCTGATTTGGAGCTGCTTCAGAAGGAAAAGCCTCAGCTGTGGGAGCTGTTCTGGGCAGGCTTGAGCCAACTGAGCTGCCTTGAGTGGCATGGAGACTCCCCAGCAGCTCAAAAGATGAGCTCCAGGATTCCCTTTTCTTACAACAAGGACCATAACACATCCAGAAGCTCTCCTGGTTCTTCAACTCTGCTCCCTGCAGGTCCTCTGAAACCCTCAGGGTGAAAGTGATTTTATCACATCTCTCCTCCAGGGATGGGGCATGGAGAGAGGGGCTGGGAGACCTGAGGGGAAGCAGAAACCCCCTCCCACCTGCCTTGGCTCCCAAGGCACACATCAGCACCTTGGTGTCACTTGGGCAGGGACAGGCCCCAGGGAATGGCTGGAGCTGTGTCAGGGGAGGTTTAGGCTGGAGATCAGGACAGCTCTGGTCTCCTGAACCTTGGCTGTGCTGATGATTTTCCCCTCTCCATCCTCTACACCACCACCAGCCCTGCCCCACAATTTCAGGGACCATTGCTGGGACTGTTCCAGAGGCCCATTTCAAACCCCCCTTTCAAGCCCCTTGGTTTCCCTGAGATGCCATTTCTTTTCATCCATTTCAAAAGTCAATAGTGCAGAGAAGTTTGAGGGGAGAGAGAGCAAGAGAGAACCCAAATGGAGCAGGAGTTTTGAAGTTGCACCACCTGATTCTCTCTGAGACAAGCTGCTCTGTCAGCCCTTTTTATGCACGTCCAGAGCTGGAGCCATCTCACACCTGCTCCACACTTGTTTTTAAAGGACACATCATTATGATAGGCACTGCAAAAATGGATCTGTATCCCCAATTAAATGGCATTTTTTGTGCTTTCGTTTCCTGCCCCAGTTGAGGAGCAAATCCCTAGAGAGCCAGCTCTTTAACGGAGTAGGAGGTGCCTGTGAAATTACAGGAGATCTTGTTTGCTGGAAGAACACCAGTGCTGGTGTTTCCAGAGCACTGGGCTTGTGTGTGATGCCCTGGGAGGCTCTCAGGTGAGTGGAAGTGCTGCTGTCAGGATCCCAGGTCAGATGGGAGAGCCTTCCATGTGGGACAGCTCCTGCTCAGAGCTGGGCTTCACTGTGACTCTTCCCTTTTCCTGGAGTCCCCAGCTGATCCCAGTGTCAGCCCTGGGAAGGGAGGCCCTGGCCCCAGTGTCTATCCTGCAGGGCCTTTTGGCTGAGCAGGAAAGGCACTTTTTGGAAATGCCCCCAACCCCATCTGTTTGCAGGTCCCCTGCCCTCAGCAGCCAGCAGTGGGGACGGAATTGTGGCTTTTGGGAAGTGAGGAGGTGTTGGGGGAGGCTCCATCCCCCGGTGAGGAGGGGTGCAGGTGTGCTGGGGTGGCACTGGCTGTGGTCTGAGCTTGGTGGGACCATGGACATCCCATTCCAGCCCACAGCTGTGCTGGGCAGGCTCCCTTTGCTGCTCCATCCAAATTTGCTTCTCCATCCGCTGTTGCCCTGATTTTTAAAGGTGTTTTTTTTTTATATAGTTCTTTTGAAAGTTTTAAAGTTCTTATAAAACTTCTTCAGCCTTCTAATCTGTTTACGTATTTCTACTAGAGTTCTCACACACTCTTCATGTAAATATTAGTTGTTTTGCATTCTTTGTGAGAGGAGAGAATTGACAGACTGTTAGTTTGACCAGTGTGGCTGGAGAGGTGGTAATTCCACTCTCCAATCCACGGTCACCTCTAGAATTCTATAAATATCAGATGCTTGAATAAACTCTCTCTTTTTTAACCCTTGAATTTACCAAGTGTTTGTGTACTTACTTAGTGTGCACTAGTGACACTCCACAGCCCGAGGACGAGTGGTGGCTTTTGAAGGGTCTGTGATGTATCTTGGTCAGGATTTGCACTGGTCCATCCCCTCTCCCCTCCCCCTGCTCCCCCACAAAGCCATCAGCCCGGGATTTATTGTCCTCCTGTGCGTTTCCTTGGCTCTTGGAGAGCTTCTGTTTAATTTTTATGCTGGTTATCATTCAGGGAGAGAAGGGAAAAGCCTGGGGAGCTCAGAGTGGAAATAAACCAGCACATTTTAGTGCAGTTACTTTGTTCAAAAGATGTTGTGTTTTGGCAGAGTGCTTGCCTCCTTTCGTGTTGAGGGTTGAAGTGATTCTACAAAAATCATGGGATGGGGCACTCGATGGATCAACTCCAGCCTTGCAAGGGCTGGGCTCAGCTGCTTTTGCTGCCTGGGTTCCACAGGACTCAAACAGAAAAGGGGAATTCAGTGACAGAGCAGGGAATGGCCTTAAACTGAAGAAGGGTAGATTTAGATTAGAGATTAGGAAGGAATTCCTCCCTGTGAGGGTGGGCAGGCCTGGCACAGGTGCCCAGAGCAGCTGTGGCTGCCCCTGGGTCCCTGGCAGTGCCCAAGGCCAGGCTGGACAGGGCTGGGAGCAGCCTGGGACAGTGGAGGGTGACCTTTTTCAGCTCCCTTGATTCACTCTTGGTGAGGTTTTTCTGGCACCTCTTTTCTGTTTCCACTCCAGGTTATCAATCAGCTTCTGAGACCTCACTCAGGTCTAATTTAACATCCCTGGGGGCACAGAGAGCTGAGCATCCCTGCTCTGCACCCTTCCCTGTGAGGAGCATCCCTGGACACCCTGTCTGGACCAACTTCACTGTGCCAGGAGCTTCTGCCAGTGGCTGCTGAGGGTGACCCTGCCAAAAAATGCCTGTAAAAGTCCTACAGCTTCCACTTCTGAATCCTGGTTATGTCCCCAGCTGACACATCTCTCATGCTGGGCAGGTCAGCCAGGTATCTTAGCCATGGCAGGAAAAGGAAAGCACCTTAATTTAAAGTTCCAGGAACATTTCAGGGGACTCAGAGGAACTGACTTAAAGCAGAATGTTTTAATTCCATCAAGGAATAGTTTTAGGAGGAGTTTTGGGATGCTCTTGGCACACAGTCTGTAGTTAAAGCTAAGCACAGAATCCCAGGAAGCCTTGGTTTGGAAAGGACCTTAAATCCCATCTAGCCCAAAGTAAAATCTTCAGTTTCAAAAACACATTTTCCAAATATTAAATACATAAATGAATACAACTACGAAAAAGTTTTACTATGGGATATTTCACTTGGAAGAAACTCTGCTTTTTCCCTGAGCCATCGTGACCAAAAATTCCTGCCTGCCTTCTGTCCTTGTCCTCTGCTAGCATTAACCTGATGGAGCAGTTTTGGTGGGATTTCTGGTGCCTGAGGCAGCCCAAACCACCCCCTCCAGTGCTCAGCCCTGGGAGCACAACCACCTCTGTCTGCTCTGCTTCCAGCTCCCTGCTAAGCAGCTCAGAGTCTTAGCTCAGCAAGTGCTGGCTCTGATCCTTGCAGACAGCAGCAGCTTTGCTTCCCAGCACTGCACACCCTCCCAGAAAGTCGTGGATTATCTGCTTACCCTCCTCCATGTCCTGCTTCCTGCAGGGTGAAGAGCACAGAGAGGAGCTGCGCCTGCTCCCGCTGCGGGCACGGGGACAGTGACAGAGCCCAAGTGCCCAGCCAGCCCTGGTGAGTGACTGCCTCTGCTCCTGGCTGTGGTGGGGGGGACAGAGCCCTGTGATTCCCTGTCATTCCCACAGCACTGGGATTTGGGACAGCACCCACCTGGCAGGAGAGCAGCTCTACAGAGCCGTGGTTCTGGGGCAGTCTGAGCATTCCTCCCTTGGAGCCTGCTGGCTGATGTTCCCTCGCCCTGGCCTCGTGTGAGGGTTCAGGGAGTCAGAGGTTGGTGGGTTTGCTGAGACCCTGCCCCTGTCCCCTGTGCTGCTGGTGATGGACTTGGGTCATTTTAACCCCAGGCAGGTGGGGGAGTCAGCACCCCTGGAGGTGTTCAGGGGAGGTCTGGACATGGCACTCAGTGCCATGGTCTGGTTGTCAAGGTGGTGTTAGGTCAGAGGTTGGACTCGGTGGTCTCAGAGGTCTCTCCCAGCCTAATTCCTGGTTCTTTCAGTCTGTGATTACAGGGTCTGTGATTACACCCTGTGGGCTGCTCTGGACATGGGTTTGGGCTTGTCTGCATTTCAGATTCATTGCCTGTGTGGCTCCTGGATGTTCTGTTTGCAGTTTGTTGTGGGGAGATGAAAACGAGTGTGACTTGGAAGTAACCTGGAGGTGACTCTGCTGCTGGCTTTGCTGGGCTCATCCCAGAGCAAGGGTGTGCAGGGAGAGGCAGCTGGAGATGCCTTCAGAGGCTGATCTGGAGCAGAGACTAGACAGAGCTAAATGGAAAAAACAGGTATTTATTGAAAGGTCTTAAAAGGATTCACCTTGGGCAGCACCAGAGCCTGGCCAGGGCTGCACTCAGGTTGAATCTGGATCCTGGTCACGAGTTTTTACACTTTTATCAGTTTTGGTTCATCTACATATTGGGTTCAATTGTCCAATTGCAGCTCCAGGTCATGAAGTCTCAGCCCCCTTCTCTTTGTATTGTTTGTGCTTTTTGGATAAATGTTGTCCTTGATTCTCCAGCTGGGAAGGGATTGTTTTGTCCAACTACCCTGTGAAGAGAACCTACTAACACCTAACAGGAAGTCTCAGAGTTACATACCAGGAGGCAGCAGAGAATCTGAAAAATGCCAAAGCTAAAAGCCAAGGCACCACTGGCTGTGCTTGGGGCAGGCAGAGCTGCTCTGTGGGCTGGGACCAGGGCTGGCTCAGACCTCTGCTGCAGAGGGGAGCAGAGCAGCCCCTGCCACTTGGGCTGGGAGGAAACATTCCCGTGGTCTTTCCTTCCTGGGGCTGTGTTTGTCAGTGCTCAGGTCATGGCAGAGGAGTTCCCCATCCCCAAAGGTACAGGAGTGTCCTCAGGCCACAATTTAGAAAGTTTAACATCCCCCACACCTAGCTTGGGCGGGGTGCTGAGCTGAAACCACCCCTGTGAGGCAGTGGCTTTATGGAGGGATGGGAAAGGATTTAGGGATCAGGTGCAGTGGTAGCATGACCTAAGGGTTGGGAGATGCTGGCCTGGGAATGGCTGTGCCTGTTGGAACCTGCTGTGCTTCCTGAGCCACGAGGTCAGGGAGGGCTGGAGCTCTGCCTGCTCTGCTGGGAGCTTCCCTCTGGTAAGAATGGCTTAGCAGGATTTGAGGGCAGTAAAACCTGGAGTTGGCTTCAGCAGAGGGTGAAGATTTCAGGGTGTCCTTGTTCTGTGCTGAACTCATGGCAGGAAGATGCAGCAGTGTGGTTTTCAGCAGTGGATTTTCTCTTCCAGTTCCTGGGCAGATGGATGAAAGCAGAAATTACAGATTAATGGAGTGAGTTGGAAAGGGATCTTAAAAACCATCCAGTGCCACCCCTGCCATGGGCAGGGACACCTTCCATCTTCCCAGGCTGTCCCAGCCTGGCTGTGGGCACTTGCAGGGATGGGGTCCTCAGTTTCCAATTCAGGAGGGTTTGCAGAACTTGGGTTTTAATTGGTATCACAGTTGGGGTTTTCCTTTGGATATTGTATAGAAGAGAGAAAATATAAACGTGATCAGATAAAACCTCTTATCACAGAGGCAGGAGCTGTGCTGCTGTGTGATGGACCCCTGGAGATACCACATGCAGTAAATAAGGATCTTATTTGGAAATCTAATCCAGGAAACTCCAAATAACAGCAGGGAAAAGATTCACCTAAACGTCTTCAAATCAAAATGAGGCAGTTGAGTGAGGAAGGGAACTTGGGTTTGATCAGATTTGTCTATAACCTTTTTCTGTTCCAGCTTAGTGTACCTGCCTATGGTGGTGGTGAGGATATTTTGACACAAAATATTCTGGCACACAGATAGTTTGAACAAATTACCTGACTAAAACCCCTGTTGTGAATGGCCAAGACAGCTACTAATTCCAAAGACAGTACCCTAATTCCATAGACCAGGATTTAACTTAGCAAATGAAACTGGGGTTCAGCAGCATTGAAGAAATCCATGGATTTTTACTATTGAAGACATTTTTACAAAGAAAGCTGCCAGAAATTTTTCCAAGTTTTGTTTTGGCTGGTGGCATATTCAGTAGAGTTTTGAAGCGTAGACCCTTCTTTTTTTACAAGGTATTTACTGTAAGTGGAGGAAATTAATTATCTTTTATCCAGCAAGTTCTTCCCTTCCTCAGGACTCCTGAGCCCCTGAACACTGCTGGCTGATGATTTGCTCTTTCATTTTTCACTTCTCCCTGCACTTAGTGGTGGCACACAGAGTAAAGGCAGATTCCAGAAGCAGCTGCAGAGCTCCCTGTTCCTTGGGAGGTATTTCAGTGGGGAAATATCTGTCATTCAGGCACTTAGAGAAGAGCACAGAGAGTGCCTGGAGAACAAGGAAAGCTGATGAAAATGCCCATGATTCCAGGAATGCAGGGGAAGTGTTGGAAATAGCTGAGTTCATCTTTACAGGGCTGGGAGTGCCCCATAGTGAGAGGATGAAGAGGAGCAGCCTTAGGTGGCTCAGCAAAAAAGGGATGTAAAACCAGGGACCTCATATAACGGGAAAGCTGGACAGGACAGAACACACATCCAACCAATATGGTTAATGCAACGTTCTTCCCTTATTCCAGAGAAGATGGCAGTTTTTATACACTTCTATATAGTTCACAGTTTACAAAGGCACTCTCATTGGCAAGCTAACATTGTTTACCTTTGTCTTAAGGTGGTCAGGCTTTTCACACTGCAGCTCTACCCAAATTCACACTCAGATAGCTCATTACTTTGTAGTTACCTTAACATAATTTCTAACTGCACCACAACTATATTCTCACTGTATCAAAGGCTTACAGGCCCCACCATGGCTGCTTATCAGGGCCTGGTCTGAGGGGCAGCTCAATTCTCACTGCAGACATAAATCATGCCCTTTCTCTCTCAGAAATTCTGTAACAGGGATGGCTGAAATGTTGTGTGTGTCTCAGAAAAGGCCGGGGTGGAGAGGCCATCAGGGCTCTGAGCACAGCTATTCCAGGCTCTAATCACCTGCTCAGGTCCTTAGCAGCTCGGGCAGTTCTGTCTGGCCAGGATTAGGGGGGCCCTTTAAGCTAAGATCTGTGGTGACCTTCTTAGCACCCCGTGGGCTGTAACAGCTTCTTAATTTAGAGAGCACCGGGTCAGGAGGAGGCTGCAGAGCCAGGAACCTGGCAGGCTGCAGTGTCCAGGGCAGAGGAGCCTGTGGGATGGGACCTCACAGGGCTCCTGGTTGAGCCTAAAAAAGCCAAACTCTAGGACTGAGCTCCCCTCTGTGCCTAAGGTGCCTCTGCCAAGGAGTGGGTTGTTGGATCACTCAGGTGGGAACTCATTCCAGAGGCTCCGACCCATCAGCAACCAGGCTGAGGAGGGCATAAGCAGAAATTCCCCCTAAAAAGCACTCTCCCCAGTCTTTATCTGCTGTAAAAAAAAATTCAAAGATACAAACTCTTGCCCTAATTTTTAAAAGTGTTAAGTTTTCTTTTCTTTTGAAAGTTTTAAAGTTCTTATAAAACTTCTTTAGCCTTCTGATAATGTTTACATATTTGTACTGGAGTTCTCACACAGTGTTCATGTAAATAATGATTGTTTTGCATTCTTCTTTGTGGGAGGAGAGAATTGATGGACTGTTGGTTTGACCAGTGTGGTTGGAGAGGTGGCAATTTCACCCTCCAATCCACTGTCATTTTTGGAATTTTATATATTGCAAGGTCAGAAATAAAATTGGCTCTTTTTCTGTCTTGAACTCACCAAGCTTCTGGTGCTAATTTCATGTCCAATAGCGTCAACATCCAAAAGTTTGAAGTTACAACTCACATTCTGAGTAGGCTCCTGGGAAGGATTGCCCTTGTCTGTGCTGGGAATGATCTCCTGGCATGTGCAGTTCTTGGGGGTGGCTGGCTGGAGCACGTGGGGATTCTGGGATGGTGGAAGGTGTGCCAGTTCCCAAAGGTCTGGAGAAGGTTTTGGCTGGAGCAGGCTCACTCCTGTGCCATGGGAGTGGGCTGAAAGCTCCCCTCACACAGAGAGCCCAGTCCCTGACCAGTCTGCAGGGAAGCAGAGGAGTTTTGGGATGCTCTTGGCACACAGTCCGTAGTGAAAGCACAGCACAGAATCCCAGGAAGCCTTGGTTTGGAAAGGACCTTAAACGCCATCCAGTGCCACCCCTGCCATGGGCAGGGACACCTTGCTCCATCCCAGGCTGCTCCAGGCCCTGGCCAGCCTGGCCTGGGACGCTTGCAGCACGAGGGGCTGTTTTGGCTGAGGGTGCTCGGGGGACATTCAGTGCTTGCACACAGCAGGAGTGGGGTCTGCAGGCTCAGCCCCGGGGTGCGCAGCTCTGAAGTTCTCAGGGCTGGAGCCATCCCCTCCCTGTGCCCCCCGTGCCTGTGGGAGCTGGGCTGGGCTGGCTGGAGTGGGGAGCCAGGCAGGCCCAGCAAGGATCAGGTTTTCCAGGACAGCCAAGCCCTGACACTCCATTCTCCATGCTGGCGCCTTCCGAGATGGACACTGGCTGAGTGAGGGAAGAGGAGCTGCTATTAACCCTTGATAAACTTCCTCATGGCTCTGCCCCTGGGCTTTT